CCCAAGGATATTTTTCCATTGATTTTTAGGGAGAGTGGAAGAGAGAGGGAAAGACAGAGAGAAACATCAATGTGAGAGAAACACATCAATTCGTTGCCTCCTGCACAGGCCCTGGGAGGAGCCTGCAACCAAATAATGTGCCCTTGACTAGAATACAACTGAGGCCCTTTGGTCCACAGGCTTAGGCTCTATCCACTGAGCAAAACTGGCAAGGGCTACTTGTATTGTTTCTGATAAGAAGAAGTCTTCTTCCGCCGAAACTGGTTTGGCTCAGTGGATAGAGCGTCGGCCTGGGGACTGAAAGGTCCCAGGTTCGATTCCGGTCAAGGGCATGTACCTGGGTTGCGGATACATCCCCAGTGGGAGATGTGCAGGAGGCAGCTGATCGATGTTTCTCTCTCATCGATGTTTCTGACTCTCTATCCCTCTCCCTTCCTCTCTGTAAGAAATCAATAAAATTTAACCCAACTAAGAAAGTCTTCTGTCCTCCTTATTCTTGTATGTAATCTGCTTTTCTCCTCAATATTCTTTTAAGATTTTACCACTGCTTTTAAGTAATTTTATTATGATACTAGTGGCCCAGGGTGGGAACGGGCGTAAACCAGCAGTCGGACATCCCTCTCACAATCTGGGACTGCTGGCTCCTAACCACTTACCTGCCTGCCTGATTGCCCCTAATCGCTTCTGCCTGCCAGCCTGATCACCTCCTAACCACTCCTCTGCTGGCCTGATCACCCCCAAGGCTTTTATTAGTATAGATATGACCCTTCACAGAAAATTTCACTAACCCTGCTTTTTATAATAAGGGCTTTATGATTGAATCATTGGGGCCGGACACCAAGATTTCCTTTCTTTGAATAGTGAAGGGAATAATTATCTTGTCTTTAAGTTGCCCTGAACATCAAATGAGATAATGACTTAGAAAGTATAAAAGCACCATATAAAGACAACTGTCTTTTTCATTTACTGAAAAGACAATAAAGTGGTAAAATGAAAAACACTATTTCTATTCTCCCCCTTCCTTCCTTTACAGCCTTTATTTAAACTTTGAAATTCATAAAAATTTCACTCCTATTTTCATTTCTTTACATTCAATATTATTTTATATTAGTTTCAGGTTTTATATTAGTTACAGAATAGAGGTTAGACAATCATATTCTTTACAAAGTGTTCCCCAATATTTCCAGTACCCACCTGGCATCATACCATCATTACAACACTGTTGACTATATTCCCTATTTAAATGACAATAGGTTTGCAGGTTCCTTCCAATCTTTCTTTTGTGTTTCTCGCCCTTCCTTTTCTTTCTCATTTCTTCACTCATTTTCTTTATATAGTATTTCAATTGGCCCTCAAAGCTCAGTGAAGGCACTGGGACATGCTTAATCCATTTTTCAGACCAGGAAACTGAGGCCAATTCCAGTTGGCTGTGGAACTAGACTCAGCGCACAGGGAGCCCTCACAACTGCACTCTCCGCCTTTCCTAAGGGACAGTCCACGGCCTCGCAGATACAACAAACCTCCCTGTGAGGCTTCTGAGCCTCATTCTCAAGCACCTTTTCATCGTGGATGCTCCACATTCTTTCCTCTCCCCCGTCCCCTGCTCCCATTCTTTACTAACCCCCCCTTATGAAGAGCACATGGTAGGCTTCGCCCTCACCGTGCAGACGCGTGCCTCCGTGGGACTGGGTGGGAACTGGGGGTGGGGCGGGAACTGGCTTGCTTTTGGGCCAAGCGGGGAGCAGGAGTCCTGGCCTCTCAGGTGCGCAGGCCACGGCAAGGCAGGTTAGCACCGGGAGTTTCCCCGAACCTCTGCAGTGGGGTACCTGGCAGTGCGGTGCCCCTCCACTGAGGTGGCATCGCCCCTCAACACCCGCCTCAGGGCTGCGGGTCCGCGCCCCTTCGCCCAGGCATCCTTCCACGCCGGCAGTCATCGCCTCTTGTTTCCCGCATCTTTGGGCCACTGCAGAACCTCGTTCTCCTGGGCGAGGCAGATCCCCGCCCACCGGCTCCCTGCCCCAGCCCGAGCCCCCTCCTCTGCACCCCACCTTGGCCCCTCTCTGCGCCCCTTGGGCTGCCTGCCTCCTGGACAGCTGCTTTACTGAAGCTGCCCCTCAGGCGGAGGCCTGTCTGGGCGCCTGCAGACCCCCTGGCAGGCCGCGGCTCCAGGCCGGCTGCATCCGGGAAGCTTCCTCCTCCTTCAGGTGCTCTCCTCAGACCCCTGGGAGCTTGGCTCTGGCAGCCCTGTCCTTCCATGGCTTCCTGCAGCCCCTGCTCCACTTTGCTTTCCCGGGCCACCCGCCTATCAGGACACTGCCAGGGTGCCCTGCTGCAGGCAGCGTGGTCCTGGGGTATGCGGTGGGGGTTTGGGGAGCAGATCCAGTAAAGTTAATAAACCCCAGGTCAGCATTGCGATTTGGCTGCAGGCTGCGGGAGAGTCTGCCTGGGTGGGACGAAATCACGCATAGACCCTGAGTGCCGCCCACCTGTGAACGGTGGTGATGTGATGGCGTCCCAGACAAATTTGCATATTCCTCCATTATATATAGAGATATATTGAAGTAGTTGTTTTATATTATTGTGGCTTTGTGAATATATAGTTTTCCTCAAATTTGAAAAGAATTTAGTCATTATTTATTTAAATACTTACTTTTCCCTTACCCCTTCTCTTCATCATGAATTACAATTATAAGCACATTAGTTCACTTGAAATTGTCCTACAGCTCACTCATGATCTGTTCATTATTTTTTAGTCTTTTTTCCTTTCATTATTTTAGCATTTTGATTGCCAACATGTATTAGACTTTTCTGAATACTAAGTATATCCAAAGATTCATATTTAAATTTAAGTTAGAAAATATTATTTGGGGGCCTTAACAATTCTCATTAAGAATTTATTATATTTATTTTTCATATTTTATGAGAAATTGTTATATTTTATGTTTAATTTGTGAGAACTTTTCCACTGTTGTGAATTTGATATCTGTTGGAAGTTGTGGGCTTAAACAGGAAATAACCACCTAATACTTTAATAGGTCTCCTATATTAAGCACATCTGAAATTTTCAATAATCTAATTGTTTAATTTTTCTCTACTTTCTTGAATAAAATAATCTGGTACTATGTGGTAGTTCAAGAATACTTTAAAACATGTAGTCAGTAGTGCCATAATATTTGTTTTGAAATGCAAATTTAACCACAGTTGAACAATTTGAGCATAATGTGAATTTTACATTTGCTTTATGCTCATTTTATCTCCAAAAAGTATAGATAAAGGCAGAAAAGAGTATCTATAAGCTACCTTAGTTCACCGTGTATATAGTGTACCACACCAGTTCATATCTGGTGTTATGACTTTTCATTTCGTTTCAGATAACCAACCTTCCAACACTGCACAAAAATTCACAAGTTGCAACATATTCAACACTCACTTCCACAAACTAACTCGTGTCTTTTTCAAGATAAAGAGCTATATTTTTCATAGTACATGTTTTGTAATTATTTAACTGTATAAAACTGTATTAATGTTTTTATTAGGTTGTTATTTTTAAAAATGTATCACTGACAATGTTTTTGTGTGCTATGCACCTAACCCTACTTCCCCATACATCCTGCAGTTTATATTGCATGAGTTTTCAAGGTGAGGTGGTTTTCATGAAGGTATATACCATATTATAGAAGAACTGACTATAATTTATCAGGGGAATTTAATTATTTTTATATGTGTTAACTTATATACAACTTACATTATGTAAAACACTATAATAAACATTCTGAATGTATCATTAATTTTTTCCTTTTATTCAGATAATTTTCCTTGAAAAATAGTATAGTGATTCTCAATGTAAAATGGAAATCTTAATAATGTTTATTATCATATATTTTCCTATAATTTATTGTCTCATTAATGTTTTCTGGCTTATATAAAATTACACAGACAACAAAGCCGACATATGATCGAACAAAGAAAACTATGAAAATGGAGAAGAAAAAAGCTAAAGAAAAATCTGAAGATTCAGAATCGTAAGACATAAAGATACAATGCTAATGTTTTCTTTCCTTGTTAATTTACATTTTTATTTTATACAATTTGAGGTAATGTAAACATAACTTATTAATAGGTTTCTTAAAAAAATAACATTAGCAAATATAGTCATGAGCCATATTACAACAACATATTGGTCAACAACAGATGACATGGACAGTGGTCTCAAAATATTATAATGGAGCTGAAAAATTCCTATCACGTGGTGACATTGTAGATGTTGTAATGTCATAGTACATCACATTACTCTGTTTGTGATGATGCTGGTGTAACAAACCTACTGCACTGCTAATCGTATGAAAATATAGCATATACAACTTTGTACAGTACATCATACTTGATAATGATAATAAATGACTATGTATTTACAATTTTTATTGTTATTTCAGAGTATACTCTTTCTACTTATAAAAAATGTTTATTGTAAAACAATATGTCATGTTATGCTGGAAGCAACCTCATATATATTCATGTTACTGTGTCTCTTAGTTGCATAATTTTCTCTTCTGCTTTATTTAATCTCATGTTATTTATAAGTTTCATGTAGCATAAGTATCTACACTAATAAAAAAGAAACATGCAAATTAACCATCATTCCACCACTCTGCTACACCCACCAGCAAATCAGGAGCGAGTATGCAAATTAACCCAACTAAGATGGTGGCGGCCATGGAGCTGGAGCAAGCAGGTGGCTTGGGTTGCCTCCAGCGATGGAGGAAGCCAAACTTCCCTCCTGCCCTGGCCAGCCCTGGGCTCCGCTCAAGACTACAAAGTTTTAATTATAGAAGATAAATAAATCCCAGATACCTGCTTCCAGCCCACCCTGGCCTCTTCTCAAGGAGGTGCTGAAAAAAAAAAAGAAAAAAGAAAAAAAGGAGAGGCTGGGAGCTTGGGTCACCAGGGGACATGGGCAGCCTGAAAATGGCCATCAGCCCCTGACCCAGGCTGGCCAGGCACCCCAGCAGGACCCCCCCCCACCCTGAAGGGGCTGTGGGCAGCCTGAAAATGGCCCTCAGCCCCTCACCCAGGCTGGCCAGACACCCCAATGGGGACCCCCACCCTGAAGGGGATGTGGCCATCCTGAAAAATGCCCTCAGCCCCTTACCCAGGCTGGCCAAGGCACCCCAGCGGGGACCCCCCCCCACCCTGAAGGGGCTGTGGCCAGCCTGCAAACAGCTATCAGTCCCTCACCCAGGCTGGCCAGGCACCCCAGCGGGACCCCACTCTGATCCAAGACACCCTTTAGGGCAAACCAGCTGGCCCCCACACATGCACCAGGCCTCTATCTATACTAATAAAAGGGTAATATGCTAATTAGACTGGGAGACCTTCCAGGAGACCTTCCAGACGTTCTCCTGGACAAAGCCATGGTGGCGGGGCTGAGGTAGAGGTGGTTAGAGGCTAAGAGGGGAGGGCAGTTGTGGGTGATCAGGCCAGGATGGGACGGCCGTTGTGGGTGATCAGGCTGATGGGGAGCGGGGCCATTGGGGGTAAGCAGACCAGCAGGTGGGCCAGTTGGGGGTGAGCAGGTCATCAGTGGGGGTCAGTTCGAGGTGATCAGGACAGCGGGGGGGGGCAATTTAGAGTGAGCAGGCCAGCAGGGAGGCAGTTGGGGGAGAGCAAGCCAGTGGGGAGGGGAGGTGAGGGCGAGCAGGCCAGCATGGGGGGGGCAGTTGGGGGGGAGCAGGCAGAGGGGTTAGGGACAATCAGGCAGGAAGGCAGGCAGGCAGGTGAGTGGTTATAAGCCAGCAGTCCCAGATTGTGAGAGGGATGTCCAACTGCTGGTTTAGGCCCGATCCCTGTAAACCGGCAGTAGGACATCCTTTGAGGGGTCCCATATTGGAGAGGGTACAGGCCAGGCTGAGGGACACCCTCCCCCCCCCATGCGCCGGGCCATTAATAGTGTTTATAAAATCTACAGTATTGTACAGTAATGTTCTAGGCCTCATGTTCACTCACCACTCACTCACCTACCCTGAGCAACTTCCAGTTCTCCAAGCTACATTTATGATCAGTGCCCTACACGGGTGTACCATTATAAATTTTTATACTATATTTTTACTGTATTTTTTCTATATTTATCTATATTTAGGTACACAAGTACTATTGTGTTACAACTGTGTACAGTATTCAGCACAGTAACATGCTGTACAGGTCTGTAGCCCAGGAGCAATAGGCTTAGGTGTGTAGGTGGCTATACCATCTATGTTTGTGTCAGTGCATACTCTCTGATGTTTGTACAATAATAAAATCACCTAACAATGGATTTTTCAGAATGTATCCTTATTGTTGGTGATGCATTACTATATATAGTTTTATAAGCAAATAAAGATATGATTGTGGGAGAAAGCTGAGAAGTGAAGCATGAACTAAAGAGGAGGAGAATGAACCACAAAACATTTAGGAACAGGCAGGCAGGATTAAATTTGTAAATAGTTTTAGGGAAAAGAATTTACATTGTGTTCTTGATGGTTTAGCTAATGATTTGTAATTTGTACATTAACTCCCTAGTCTGGGCTATGATTTTTTATTTTTAACTGAAATTCTTGCTTTTTAAAAAATTATCACCCAAGGATATATTTTTTAAATTGATTTTAGAGAGAGAGGAAGGAAGAAATGAGGAGAGATAGAGAGAAACATTAATGTGAGAGAGAAATATCAATCAGTTGCCTCCCATACATGCCCTGACGGGGATCAAACCCATAACCTTTTAGTGTATGGGAAGACACTCCATCCACCTGAGCCACCCAGCCAGGGCTTTACAGACTTCTTCATTGTACTTATTTTATAAAAACAATTACCTATATTTTAATGTAAATGGATTTTATAAACTGGTCTTATTAAATGAATACCCTCTTTAGTAAAATAAAATAACTTTTGCATTGAAATTGGATTGGTCAAGCCCTGATATAAATATATAGTTTAAAAAGAAATTAAGAATTCCATGTTTATACAGCTCCACAAAATCTATAAAGAAATTCATTGGACAAATGACTTTGATCTTTGACTTAGCAAAGAAAAGATGACCAGAGGAAAAAAAATGGACCAATGTATTTTGAAACTCCTTGCCCTATCTCATCTTTCCATATTTTAATCATAGCAATGAGAAGTTCATTTGAGAAATGTTATTTTTTATCATTTAACCTATGTGGATTTTATGGCTTTTAAAAATATATAAATTTCTTTTGAAGATATTCATTTTTATAAAGGGTTTAATTAAACATTTAAAAGTTAGCTGTGCAATTAAAAAATATCATGATATATTTTAAAACATTTTTAATTACAGGAAAAAGTCTCCAGCCAAAGAGCTTAAAACAGAATCCCTTAAAGCCCAGGTAATACACTCTCTTTATGCCTCTAAATTTGATTAATAAGTGCACTGATAATTATATGTATAGACAGTATTGGTATGCACATGAACATAAGTGTGTATGTGTATCTGTATATGTGTGTACTGAAGTTCTTTCTAAGATATGTCTTTCTTGTTGGTTGACTCTTCTCAGTAAGTTTCACAAAATAAAATGGTAAGTCTAGGCATGTTTATTGTCAAGGTTATGAAAATTATGGTTTACTCAACCACAGGCAATATCATGGAGGAAAGAATATCATATTGGTAGTCAACAGGGACTTACTAGTTATGTGACATTGGACAAGTCCCTTTTTTTCTGGACCTAAGCAAATATTCATTAACTAGCAGCCCAGTGCACAAAATTCATGCACCGGGGAGGGGGGAGTTGTCCCTCATCCCAACCTATGCCCTCTTGCAATCCGGGACCCCTTAGGTATGGTCCCTAGCCTGGCCAGTGATCAGGGCTTATTGGGGCTTTCCTTCCCCCAGCTGCTAGCACTGCCACTGCCACTGCTTGCCATCTGTGAGGTGCTGCCCCACCTCCCCTGCCACCAGTCGCCTCCTTCTGTGGGCGACAGGCATGGGGTATAATCGCTTGGCTGGCCTGGGACTCCCTTTGTGGGGTGATCAACTGTGGGGTTCTGTGATCAATTTTCTCACAGAGGGAGGCCCCGCCCACCTGGCCGGGGCTCCACAATTGACTGCCATGCAGAGGGTGGCCTGGGCCTCCCTCTTTGGGGTGAACAATCAATCACAGAGCCCCCCAATTGATCACCCCACAGAGGGTGGACTGGGCTTCCTCTGTGGGGCAATTGTGGGGTGATGGCGGGGCCCCCACACCAATCGCCTTGCACCTGCCTTGGCTGGCCTGGAGCCAGTGTGTATAATAGAATGGTTGTCCGGAAGGTCATTCTGCTGTTTGGTTTTTCGGTTGATTTGTATATTATGCTTTTATTATTATAGATAATGAAAGGTTTGCTCTTACAAAGATATATCATGTATCTGTTTTTGTCTTTATATATCTACTAGAGGCCTGGTGCACCAAATTAGTGCATAGGGTGGGGGGAGTGGTCCCTCAGCCTGGCCTGCACCCTCTCCAATCCAGGATCCCTCTCGCAACCCGGGACCGCTGGCTCCTAACCGCTCACCTGCACACCTGCCTGACAGCCCCTAACTGCCTCTGCTTGCCAGCCTGGTCACCCCTAACTACCCTCCCCTGCTGGCCTGGTCACCCTACCTGCCCTCCCCTACCAGCCTGGTCATCCCTAATTGCCTTCCCCTACCAGCCTGGTGGCCCCTAACTGCCTTCCCCAGCTGGACTGGTCGCGCCTAATTGCCCTCCCCTGCTGACCTTGTCGCCACTAACCACCTCTGCCTCAGCACCCGCCACCATGGCTTTGTCCAGAAGGACATGTGGATGGATGTCCAGAAGACGACTGGTCTAATGAGCATATTACCTTTTTATTAGTATAGATACTAGTGGCCCAATGCATGAAAATTTGTGCACTTGGGGGGATTGCAGTCTGGGACCCCTCGGGGGATGTCCATCTGCTGGCTTAGGCCCGCTCCCCTGGGGATTGGGCCTAAGCTGGCAGTCAGATATACCTCTGGCAACACAGGAGTGCCTTGGGGATGTCCAACTGACAGACGTCCTTAGCACTGTGGAGGAGGCAGGCGAGGCTCCTGACACCACCACAGCGCTTGCAGCCATCAGCCCAGTTTGAGGCTGAGCGGAGCTCCCCCTGTGGGAGCCCACTGACCACCAGAGGGCAGCTCCTGCATTGAGCATCTGCCTCCTGGTAGTCAGTGCGCATCATAGCAACCGGTCATTCGCAGTCATTCCGCTGTTAGGGTTAATTTGAATATTACCATTTTATTTTATACTAGAGGCCCGGTGCACAAAAATTTGTGCACTGGCGGGGGCGGGGAGTGTCCCTCAGCCCCACTTGTGCCCTCTCACAGTCTGGGACCCCTTGGGAGATAATGACCTGCTGGCTTAGGCCCACTCCCAGGTGGCAGAGGGCAGGCCCAATCCCTAGGTGCAGCCCCTGGTTGGGCTCAGAGCAGGGCCGATTGGGGAGTTGGGGCGCCGCTCCCTGTCATGCACAGAGCAGGGCGGATCGGGAGGTTGTGATGCCACCCCCAGTCACACTCAGGGTAGGGCCAATTGGGGGGTTGGGGCACCGCCCCCTGTCACACTCTAGGCAGGGTTGATGGGGAGGTTGTGGTGCCACCCTGTCACATACAGAGCCGGCCGATCAGGGGGTTGGGGTGCTGCCCCCATCACGCACAGAGCAGGGCCCATCAGGGGGGTTAGGGCTCAGTACCCTGTCACACACAGAGCAGGGCCGATCAGGGGGTTGGGGAGC